AAAATTCTTTGCAGTTAAAAACATAACTTTAAATAGCTTTATTAGTTTTCATACCCTTCAGGATTAACTAACAATAATGGTCATAATAACTAACATTTCTTGGACATTTTCTGTGCTAGATGGAGTACAACTGCTTTGTATTTATCACTTAACTTCATTTTCACAAGTCTAGTATAATGTAACAGATATTATTATCCCCATTAGTAAAAAGGGAATCTGTAAGATAAGGAAACTGGAGCATGGAGAAGTGACTTGAAACTCTTCTTAAAAGAATCCTAGGCAGAAGACTTGAGTCCATTGGAATATTTTCCCTAAGTGAAGTAGTTATCCTATGTAACTGATGCAGACCAGTATTACAAAAATAAGAAAGAAAAGAACTTGTTTAATTGGACCACCAGATAACTTTCAGGTTTAGTAACAAGAAGCCATCACTGTTGCCAAAGTGAATGACTCTGTAGGAAATGTTAAAAAAAAAATCTGAGCAAAGTCATGTATGAAGAGATGCCCTCCAGTTCAAAGTTGGGGGAATCATGGCTTGCTCTGCCACAACCAATTTGGATCACTGAGGATGGAGGCAGAGAGCAGAGTTCATGTGCCTACACAGACCAGCATCTGAGGTGGGCTACCCTGTCAGAGAGGTATAGATCAGGCTTGTGTTGAGGTTAGTTGCTGCCAAGTTGGTCTCCAACTCATGGTGACCCCATGAGCAATGGTATCAGACTGTTGTGTTCCATAGGGTTTTTCACTGGCTGATTTTCAGAAGTAGATTGCCTGGCTTTTCTTCCTAGTCCATTTTAGTCTGGAAGCTGTGCTGAAACCTGTTCAGCATCACAGCAACACTTAAGCCTCCACTGACAGATAAATGGTAGCAGTGTCTGAGGTGCATTGGCTGGAATTAAACCCAGGTCTCATGCATGGCAGGCAAGAATTCTATCACTGAGCTACCACGTAGGGTGCCTAAGCAGTTCCACCATAAGCACATTAGAACTGACCCCCTCCAGGCCAGCTTTGCTCTTCTTCTTGGAAACTCCCTGTTCATTCTCTCTCTCCTAATCCCCAGTGGGAAGCCTGATACTGCTTACTTTAATAAAAGAGACCCAGCTGGAAAGTACAACTTGACACACTATTGCCCCTGAAGTTGTTACTATGTTCTACTTCACAACCATTTACACCTGTTGTGGTTGGTATACTAATGCCCCCTCCTCCAAAGTGTCCATGTCTTAATCCCTGGATCTTCTGAATACGTCACCTTATAAGGCAAAAGGGACTTTGCAGATGTGATTAAATTAAGGATCTTGAGAGGGGAAGATTATCCTGGATTATCTGGGCAGGCCAATGTAATTACAAGGGTTCTGATAAAGGAAAGAGGGAAGCAGGAGGCTCAGAGAAGGGAATGTGGTGATGGAAGCAGAGGTTGCAGTGATGTGACTGCTGGCTTGGAAGATGGAAGAGTCCACGAACCAAGCAATGTGGGCAACCTCTGGAAGCTGGAAAAGGCAAAAAAACAGATTCTCTTCTAAAGCTTCCAGGAGAAATGCAGGCATGCCATCCATTTTAGACTTTTGACCTTCAGAGCTGTAACTTAATACATTCATATTGTTTTAAGCCATTAATTTTGTAGTAATTTGTTTCAGCAGCAACAGGAAACTAATATACCTGTGGAAGTTTGCATCATCTGTCCCAGCTTTTTACCCTTTTCTATACCCATGCCGTGCCCTTGGCCATTTGACTCACACAAATGGGTGGAGTCTATTTTTCTACCCTTGACGGTTGATTCAACCATGTGACTTGCTTTGGCCAATAGAACAAGATAGAAGTGCTAGTGTGCCAGTTCTGAGGCTAGGTCTTAAGAAACTGTGTTTTGGCTCTCTTTTGTGATTCTGCCATCGCTGTAATTAGGACACACCTGGGCTAGATCACTAGCTTCAGGAATATGACAGGCAATGGAGTGAAGCTGCCCCAGGGAAAGTGTTCTAGCAAGCGGTCGCCCCAGCTGAGATGCAGATGCATGACCAAGCTCAGCTGAGATCAACTGAGCCCAATCTAGATCAGTTGACCCCTACTGACCTGAGCTATAATAATGATTGTTGCTTTAAGCCGATGAATTTTAGGATGCTTTGTTACACAGCACTAGCTAAGGAATACAATGCCTTATAAACTAATGATGGCAACTCAGAAAGCAACATTCCAGGTGGTCTTTACGTGATCTCACTGTAATACTTGCCTCGGCTGAATGAATGGCCCAGGCCGTAACCGTTTAGGCAATTCTCACCTGGCTGCCCCCAATCCTATAGCCTCATCATACATGGTGTAATAACCAGGAAACAGAGCAATCAGATTTTCTCCACTCACCCACTCCCATCTCCAAAAGAGCTCACATTACAACAGTATTTAGATATTATTTTAATTTGTTTATTGAGATTGTAAAATATAATAAGTTATATATACAGAATTAGACAAAAATATTGACAACTAAGACTTCACTGGTTAAGGGCCACAGACCCAGCCTGGGGTGTTTTCTAAATGTGTGTAAGTATAGCAAAACAATGACTGTCCCCACACAATGGCAGCTGGAACTCCAGCCTTGGTCAGGCTCATCATCATGATGGCCACACCAATTCTGAATTCCATAATGTAGGTTAAAGCTCCATCAGAGCAAACCCTTCCTGGATTTACTTCTAAATAAGTAAAAGGCAAAGGAATATGTAACAATATAAGGACTAGCTCCCTAAATGGCAGTTTGAGAGTTAATGAAACATTGTCTGAGGCCTGCTGGCCCCTGGCCCCAGAATACTAATAGCGTGAAACTAGGCAAAACCACCCAGTCTGGACAGTCATTCCTTCTCCTTCACTGAAAACCTTGTTCTAAGGAAGGTGCTAGCTGTTATCCTGGAACGGTATGCTAATCACATATGACATTTGTGGTCTTATTAAGGGAGAGGCTCTCATCATTATCACAAAGCAGGGGGAAAGGGACTTCAAAGAGAAAGTAAAAGGATAATTAAGTTTTGCTGTGGAGTAGTTAGCTTTTAGAATATACTGAGCAGGTTCTGAAAAACAGCAGCAAACAGACAGTCAATGATGATATGAAATATTCAGAACCTAATTATGATCCTATCACAGTATGTTCTACATACCCACTGCCATCGAGTCGATTCTGACTCAGAGCGACTCCATAGGGTTTCCAAGGCTGTAAATCTTTATGGAAGCAGACGACCACATCTTTCTCCCGTGAGGCAGCTGGTGAGTTTGAACTGCCATCCTTTCTGTTAGCAGCCGAATGCTTCAACCACTGTTCCACCAGGGCTCTTCAGAACCTAATTATGGTCCTATCACAGTATGTTCTACATACACTGGTTTACTTGTTGGCTTTAAACAAATGACTGATTTCCTCCCACCCCCGCCCCCGCCAAGCATTTACTCAGTCATGTGACTTGCAATTTAAAAATATCATTTGTTTTAATTTAGTAATAACGGCAGTCAAACCTATCACTAGAAGACCTCAGCAGTGAACTCTACATTCACCCACTGGTGTGATCGCTGCTCTGACTCCCCAGCTCTTGGCAATTACTGGTGAAATAAAGAATCTGCCAAGAACTGTGTCAGTTTATTCACTTTATCTCTAAATGTTATGTCTCATAATCACAATTACTGTGAAAACTCCAAATCCCAGCCTTCCTGTTTTTCTTCCCATTTTACTTGACAATTCACACTGTATTCACCTCCATGGAGCACCTCAAAAACCTTGCATTTTCTATGTCTCCACTTCCTTTTTGCTCACCTGACCCTCACTTTCTCTGATTATAAAATCACAGACTAGCAGAGTTGGGAGGAAGAGAAACTGACTCCTAGGGAGCGAGAGAAAATTACCCAAGCTGGCACACAGAGAACCCGGGTTTCTGGACTCCAAGCCCAGAGCTCTCTTCATTACACCGCAGGTCCCACTTTTCAACGACTGGCTCAGCAGACCTGGAGTCAGAAACTCGCACGACCTGAGGCTCATCTGGAAGTCTTGAATACTCTTGAAAACTAGAATGATGCATGGCTGAACCCTCAGGAAGTTGTCCTTTCCCTTTCTAAGCAGAGTTTACCACTTATTTCTGCTTAAAGCAAAAACACAGCCTGGCACATTATAATTTAAACTACTTATGTCCTTGAGCGTTGCTGCCCCCTCAAAAGTCAACTCTGACTAATAAGGAGTATGGAAAGCAATTCATTCAGCTACCAGGTCTAGGACTCACAGAGTAAATGAAATCAACTGTCACACAGATCTACTTGATGGACAAATACATGCCTTGCAGGCCTATGACAAAAAACAGGCCACAGGGTGAGCTCTTCCATTACTGACTGGGAGGGCTGTGGGAAATACGAATGACCTCAAGGACAGGTAAAGTTATGCCAATGAAACCATGTAGGATCTTAACAGACTTGTCCTGAACGTGAAACAACACAGCAGGTGGGGGGCCTGTGTTTTGTAGCCATTTGCCAAAACTTGCAAGTTACTCTCTCCATGAGCAAGCCCTCCTTCATCGTCCCAGTGGGAAGCCATCTCCTTCCCTTAAGGCTTTTATTACTTTTCTTCGCATCCGCTCATTCAGTTTGTAGACATGTCTTAGGTCGCCCACAAGACTGTAAACTCCTTAGAGACAAGGATCAGATTTCTTCACCTTTGTCATCCCCACATTCTTTGGTTCATCTGGGTACCACTCAGCACTGTCTGTAGAATGAATTAATGGCTGGCTAGATGAATAAATATTCATCCTGCCTAGTGAGGTACAGGTGAGTAGTTGGGAGTACCCAGCTTTAACCCTTTATCTTTGGTGAGATGGGAAGATAGGCCTCCTTTCCTCTTGCTCCGTAGAACAGCCTAAGGTAGACCCTGGTGATGTACCAGAAAAAGCCTTGATTCTTGTCAGTCTGTTGGCACCGCTCACAGCTCCAGAGCCCTCAGTTAGGTCCCTTGGCTCATCCCAAGGAAGGACAGTTCACCGTCACGCCCCTTAGGATGTAGCGGATGGCTGGGGGGCAGGGGGCACGACCCCAGCCCACTCCAGTATGTCTGCACACAGGGACTCCACGGCATCCAGCCGCTCGATTTGCACCAGTTTTGTGAGCAGCTCCGGGATGCTGTAACCTGCTGTGCTGATGCGGTCGAAGAGCTGCATGCCGTCCGTCATGCCCCCGATCTCATCCCTCTTCAGTCCAAAGCTCTCGGCAAGGTGGCGCCATGTCTTCACGACAGCCTTCTCTGAGTTGTATGTGGAACTGAGCATTCGGCTGGTCTTCTCAAGGCAATCAAACGGCAATTCTGTGGGGCTGAGACCTATGGAGAGCGAGGGCCATGGTCATACGTCACTAATGACAGCCAACAGAAGCTCAACATCATTAAAAATAGTTTAAAAAAATTTTTTATATTGTAAAACAAAACACAGATTCAGAAAACTATACACAACAAATGCATAGCTTAAGGTGAATAACACCCGGAATTTTGCCAGCCACACAAGAAGACTCCCCATGTGCCCCAATCCTAATAATAACACGCCCTCCTTCCAAAAATGAACATGATCTTGACTGTTACAGTAATCACCTGAAGACCATTTTAGCAGTCTCCAAAGCCTGTAATTCAGACTACCCTTGGTTGGATAAACCCTGCTTCACATGGGGCTGGGGCTGAGGAGGAATTTCAAGGGAGAGTAACACATCAGTAATCACCATTATGGAGAGTGTTTTGAATGACAGCCCAAAGTCTGGGTCATCTGAACTAAGTAACTGCTAACTTAGTGGTCCATTGGTCCTCAACCCTCGCTGTACGTTACACTCACTTGTGGGGCATTTAAAATAACACCGATGAATGCAAGCGGCCATCTAAGATGCATCAATTGGTCCCAACCAAAGAACACCAAAGACACAAGGGAAGTATTAGCCCAAGAGACAGAAAGGGCCACATAAACCAGAGACTTCATCAACCTGAGACCAGAAGAACTAGATGGTACCCGGCTACCACCAATGACCGCCCTGACAGGGAACACAACAGAGAGTCCCTGACGGAGCAGGAGAAAGGGGGGGTGCAGAACTCAAATTCTAGTAAGAAGACCAGACTTAA